TCCTGAATGTGGAGGGTTTAACACAGCAGTTTGGTAGCACAGGTGGAGGTGGTCCCTGAAAGAATTTGACAGATGTTGAGCAAGTTGTACTGGTGCTAATGATTGTGAAGGGGAGGTGGGCTTCATGATCTCAAAGCATCAAGGAAGATGTCCTGGCATTTACATTGTCATACACCTGGCACGGTTGTAAATATCCAACATGGGTTATCTCAGCCAATCCCTATAACAACCCCATAAGGTATTCCATTAGATTTCTATTTTAGAGGTGAAAAAAATTGAGTCTCAGGAGATATGGAAAAACACAAGATGATGCCAAGCATTGCCTCTGGGTTGTCTGGCTTCTCCCTCTTTTTTTTGTTTTTTAATTATTATTTTTATTTTGTGTGTATGAATGTATTGCCTGCATGTAGATAAGTACACCCATGTTGTGCAACGCCTGCAGAGGTTAGAAGAGAGTATCAGATTCCCCTGGAACTGGAGTTACAGATGGTTGTTAGCCACCATGTGGGTGCTGGGAATCGAACCTGGGTCCTCTTTAAGAGCAGCCAGTCAGTGCCCCTGGTTTCTCTTTTTACTGCTGTACCCTGCTCATGGTGGCCTGGAAAGGACTCAGCAGTGCTCCCTGCAGGAGCAGCCAGAGTGCATCCACTTATGGTTTGTGTATGTATACATATACTTCTGCACAGAGCTGAAGATCCTGCCCTGGAGAATAAGTAGGAAAATGGTACAAAGAATCTTGATGCATCTGTGTGGAAAGGCAGGTAGGACTTAGGATGGAAAATTGTGTTCTCTCATGGCAAAAGGAGCAAGTTCTGTTTGAGAGCTTATAGAGAAGGGCCGGGGTGGAGTGGGAGGGAGGGGGCTTTTCCTGTGGCCCATCCAGCCACTGTAAATGTTTGTAGACTCGCCAGAAATCCAGGGTGCTGATAGGTAATCCAAGACTCCTTTGATCTGCATGTGAGTAGGCATGTCCCGCCGAGTTCCAGTGTCTACAGAAGAATGAAAAGTAATCTGAAGAGAGTCTTTTGAAGGATAAACAGGTGGGTTTTGTTTTTTTTTTTTGAGGTTTTACTGCCAATCCGAGGATTTGGAGGTCTAAGGTGACCATTGACAAATCCAGAACAGTCCCATCCCATTGCTGCAGACAGCACTGCAGTTCACGAACTTTAATCTTTCGTGTCTTCCTTCCATCCTTTTGTTTTAAAGACGTTTTCCTACTGAGTCACTTAGAAGCAGAAAGTTGGGGATATAAGGATCCTGGCTCTTAGAACACAGGGAAAATTCCAACATTAACCACATTCTGAAGGGGAATGGAGAAGAAACTGGAAGTGGACGCATCTCTGTATTCTCCCAGGAAACTTTAGTGTAGGAGCCCTAATGACATTGGAATATAATTCCACAGCTGAGTGGAAATGGCCTGAGAGTGTACTGGTGTTCTGGAATTGTGGGGTGGTTGGAGTCTAGGAGGTGGTGGCAGTAGGAACTGGGAATGTCTTTTCAGGAGAGAAACAGATTCCAGAGCCTTTTACACATCTCAGGGATGCAGACCCGGGGTTTTGGCTGGGATAGAGGGTTGGGGTGAGTGTCAGAGGGTAACTGTCAGAGAAGTTGACACAAGAAATACATGCCTGAAGTTTTAGGATGTGAAGGATGAGATCAGAGGCTGGAAGACAGTGGCATCATATGGTTTAAAATTGGCAGCCCTCGGGGAATTAGTTGAGATATTTTCAATAATGGGGTCTGGCCTGTGGCGTGTTGGCGAGACCATTGCTTGTTGACTGTGTGTCCTGACCCCTTTTGGGCCTGGCAGGAGCAGGTGAGTGAGGGAAGACAGTAACAGAGTGTCAGTCCTTCCAGATGTGCCCAGCTGGGCCATGGATAGATAAAGCTGATCAGAGGTGTGGTTCATGGGGTCTTATTTTATTTTTAAGAAACTTTATTTGGAAATAGTTTCAAACTTATAAAAAAAAAGTTGCAAGAATAAAAATGACCTTTCAAAATGGCATATGGATATTCCTGTCCACTTTTCTCAAGTTCACCTGTTATTAACATTTTGCTCCATTTGGGCTCTCTGTATAGATACATGGTGTTTTTGTTCTGAACTATTCAAGGGACTCTTGTCATGGGCCTCTACCTCTAAATATTTCTGTGTGTATTCCCTAAGAATTGGGATATTCTTTTTCCTACTCCAGTAGTTATCAGTTAGTTAATGTGGATGCTTTGACCTTTGCCTATATTCCAATTTTATTTTGTACACTATTAATGTCCTAAAAAAGAGTTTTATTGAGGTATAATTGACACACAATAAACTGCATGTATTTAAAGGGTATAATTTAAGTTTGCTATGTACATGCCCATGAAACTGTCACCACAGTCAAGATGGTAATAAGCATATTCACTCTTCTCAAAGCTTCCTAATATCCTTTTGTAATGTCTGCAGCCCCAAGTTAAGAGCGTAAGTTCTTCAGTTGTCACTAAGAGACTAAGACAAGTTTTTTTAAATTTTTTTGCCAGTCTAATGAGTGAGAGACATTATCTGAAGATAGCTTCAGTTTTCATGTTTCTTATGAGTGAATTGAACACTATTTTGACTTGTGTAAGGACTGTTATGTGTTTCCTGTGAGTTTCCCTTATTGGCTCATTTTCTGTAGAATTCTTGACCTCTCACTCCTCTCAGTTTCTAATTCTTTTGTAGTATAGTATTATCTGTAATCTGTGTTGCAGAGATTCTGTTTGTCATTTGATTTTTTTTACTTGCCTATAGTGTTTTTAATCCATGCAAAAATCTTTCAAGTAAGAAAATATATCAGTTTTCTTTTATTGCATCAAATATTTTTGAGTCATACTTAGGGAGCCTTTCTGGGTACCATGTTTTCTCCTAGCGCTTTAGTTTTTTAATATTTAAACTTCTGATTGACATGAAAATTTATTTGTATATAAATATAATTTTTCACTTTTCCAAATGACTATATAGTAATTACAGTCCTGTTCTGGTCCGTTGGGGAGTCTGCTTATTTATAGCACAGTTGTTTGTTTTGAGACAGGCCCAGCTGACCTGGGACCCCCTACTAGACCAAGCTGGCCTCAATCTATCCACCTGCCTCTGCCTCCCAAGTGCTGGGATTAGAGGTGTTGCCACCAGGCCTGGCCTATGGCATAGTTTTGATTGAAGAGCCCCTCTGCTTCATTATTTTCCCATATAGTCTCATGCTTACCTTTCCATGAGAATTTTAGTGTCATTTTGTACTCCATACAAAAGCATTTTTTAATTTTTTAATATTTTTAGTTTGTGTGTGTGAGTGTTTTGCCTGCATGCATATAAAGTGCACCTGTGTGTGCAATGCCTGCAGAGGTCAGAAGAATGTATCAGATCCCCTGGAACTGGAGTTATGGATGGTTGTTAGTCTCCAGGGTACTGGGAATTGAACCCAGGTCTCTGCAAGAACAGTCAGTACTCTTAACTGCTGAGCCATCTCTCTAGCACCACAAAAGCATTTTTTTTTTAATGTTGCTGAATTATTATTATAATTTTTTTGTCTTTTTTGAGACAGGGTCTCCCAGTAGCCCCAGCTGTCCTGGAACTTACTATGTAGACCAGGCTGGCCTTGAACTCACAGAGATCCGCCTGCCTCTGCTTCCCGAGGACTGGGATTAAAGGCATGTGCCTCTACGCCGGGCCTGTCCTTGATTTCTTTAAATCAGTATTTAGTGTACTTTTATCCTTGATTTCTTTAAACTAGTTTTCCAAGAGTATTCTTGCAGTATCGGCAAATACAGTTTTACTTTTTTTTCCTTCATTTTTTGGCTGCTTTACTTAGTATTATTTGCTTTGGTCGATTACTCGCCATTGAGATCATGGGCAGCATGGCTTTTAAAAATTAATATAATTATGAATGCATATCATTTGTACAGATGAGTTTCCCTGGGGCAGTACCATACAGGCATTTCTTCTGCTTCAGTCTTCTCCATCCCCCCCCCAACTCTTCCTTCCTTCCTGGCTTTTGGATTCCTTCCTCTTCCCTAATGATCCCTACTCTACTGTCAAGTTGTCTTTTAAAAATTCTTTTAGTGGGCTGGAGAGACAGCTCAGTGGTTAAGAGCACTGACTGCTCTTGCAGCAGACCAGGGTTTGATTCCCAGCACCCACATGGTGGCTAACAATCATCTTTAACTCAGTTCCAGGGAACCCGGTGCCCTATTCTGACCTCCACAGGCATTGCATGAAAGGGGTGCATTTAACACATGTCAATACACTCATACACATAAATTTTTTTTTGTTTTTAGCTTCCATAATGATAGAAAATGTGATTATTTGTTTTTCCATGTCTCACTGATTTTGCATGATGACTTTGAGATCCATCTCTTTTCCTGAAAATGGCAGGATTTTATTCTTTGTGGCTGAACAATACCACATTTTGTATATCTGTTCATCTGTCAGTAGCACCTAAGCTGATTCCATTCCTTGGCCATTGTGGCTAGTTCCTCCATAAACATGAATGTGTGAGTCAGTGCATGTCTGTGTTATTAACAGCCCGGCTTTACTCCTGACATTCATGAGAATGCCTCTGCTGTTTCTTATTAAGTCAGATATGATGTTTAATTTTTAAGGTCAATAATTTTAGGGTAGTTAGATTTGAAGAATAGAAGCCAAATGGTCTTGCCTCTTCTTCGTAACTAAACTTCAGATGGAAGATGGGAAATGAAATACAGCAGGTAGGGAATCAGAGTAGGCATATTTAATTGCATTATTATTTCTCAACTCTCTTCAATTCTCCCAGCATCATTCTCTGCCCCTCTGTCAAACATACAGCACTTTCCTGAGGTCTCAGGGACTCATTTTGGAGTGGTGGAGCATGTGCTCCTAACCCTGCAACCCCCTGGCTTCCCTGCTTCCTCAGTTTCTCACCTGTGTCTGCCCCTTCCCCCATGTTCTCCACCCTGTGGCATGTGGAACTATATGTATTTGTGGTGACAGTTGGCTTTCTCTCTCTTCTCTTTAGGTGCATGGCTGCTTCCTAGTCTCAACCCAGAGGAACCACCCTCCCACTGTGGGAAGTGAGCCAGGCAAGCCAAGGGCAGTCTTGAGCCCGTTCCTTGCCTGCCCTCCCCTGTGGGGGCCAGGATGCTGAAGAAGCAGTCTGCAGGGCTTGTGCTGTGGGGCGCTATCCTCTTTGTGGCCTGGAATGCCCTCCTGCTCCTCTTCTTCTGGACGCGCCCAGCGCCTGACAAGCTGCTCTCGGACAATGCTGTTGATGACGACCCTGCCAGCCTCACTCGGGAGGTGATCCGCCTGGCCGAGGACGCAGAGGTGGAGTTGGAGCGGCAGCGGGCACTGTTGCAGCAGATCAGGGAGCATCATGCTTTATGGAGCCAGAGGTGGAGGGTACCCACTGTGGCCCCTCCAGCCCGGCCACATGTGCCTGTGACCCCCTCACCAGCTGTGATTCCTATCCTGGTCATTGCCTGTGATCGCAGCACTGTCCGCCGCTGCTTGGACAAGCTGTTGCATTATCGGCCTTCAGCTGAGCGCTTCCCCATTATTGTCAGCCAGGACTGTGGTCACCAGGAGACTGCCCAGGTCATTGCTTCTTATGGTAATGCAGTCACACACATCCGGCAGCCTGACCTGAGTAACATTGCCGTGCAGTCTGACCACCGCAAGTTCCAGGGTTACTACAAGATCGCTAGGCACTACCGTTGGGCACTAGGCCAGATCTTCAACAAGTTCAAGTTCCCAGCAGCTGTGGTGGTAGAGGATGATCTGGAGGTGGCACCAGACTTCTTTGAGTACTTTCAGGCCACCTACCCATTGCTGAGAGCTGACCCTTCCCTCTGGTGTGTGTCTGCTTGGAATGACAACGGCAAGGAGCAGATGGTGGACTCAAGCAAGCCTGAGCTGCTCTATCGCACAGACTTCTTTCCTGGCCTGGGCTGGCTGCTGTTGGCCGAGCTGTGGGCTGAGTTGGAGCCCAAGTGGCCCAAAGCCTTCTGGGATGACTGGATGCGTAGACCTGAGCAGCGGAAGGGGAGAGCCTGTATACGCCCAGAAATCTCGAGAACTATGACCTTTGGCCGCAAGGGTGTGAGCCATGGGCAGTTCTTTGACCAACATCTGAAGTTCATCAAGCTGAACCAGCAGTTTGTGCCCTTCACCCAGTTGGACCTGTCATACTTGCAGAGGGAGGCCTATGACCGGGATTTCCTTGCCCGGGTCTATGATGCCCCCCAGCTACAGGTGGAGAAAGTGAGGACCAATGATCGGAAGGAGCTGGGGGAGGTGCGGGTACAGTACACAAGCAGAGACAGCTTCAAGGCCTTTGCTAAGGCCCTGGGTGTGATGGATGACCTCAAGTCTGGTGTTCCCAGGGCTGGCTACCGGGGCATTGTCACCTTTCAGTTCCGGGGTCGGCGTGTCCACCTGGCACCCCCACAGACCTGGGAGGGCTATGATCCTAGTTGGAATTAGCAACATCTGCCTTTCCCTGCTGGGTCCCTTCCTTGGCATGTCATGATCTGAGACAGGCCTGCAGTTCCCGGCTTTACCATCCTGTCTTGTGTTTCCCTCTTGGGTCTGTGTATCTTCTTTTTTCTTTTTCTTTCTTTTCCTTTTTTTTTTTCCAGAGTGGCATTCGAGTGCTTAAATCATAAAATGAGAGTTATACTCCCGTTGTCAAGGGAGTCAGATCAGGAGAACTCTTGTGAGGTATATTGAGGGAAATTAAACAAGAAACCACTGTGTGGTAGGGGAGAGTTGTTCTTACTGAGGCCAGAATTATAGTGTCCTGAGTTTTCCCCTCAGACATCTACAGAGAGGTTGGCCACTCCAGCTCTCTTTGCCAGGCCTATTCTCCCTGACCAGGCTCCTGCCAGTGCATGAGCGTACCTTCTGTCCCTACCCTCCTTTCTCTGCCTTCCCCTAGTGTGGGACTGGGTTTTGGGGGAAGGATCATACTTGTGGCCAAATGAGACTAACCAAAGGGGTTTCGCTGTTAGGGTTGGATTGGAGTTGTTGGGTTGCCAGAGTTACTGCCTCCTGGCTTCTCTTGCCTTTCCCTGCAGCCTGCAATTTGTGGTTGTGAGATGGAACGTGCAAGAGGAAAAAGCAAGACCTTTAAGCTAGTGCTCAGCTGTTGGGAAAGGTGGTGGAGAAAGCCTGGCTTGGGTACCCGCTCTTCTTGCTCCTGGGCCCCTCCTTTCTGAAAGTCAGTTCCCTCCATATTGCGTTAGGAGGGCTCAGTGCTGGCCTGGTAGAGGGCAGTGAGTGCCCATACCTCTTTCCCCTGGCTTTGTTGTACAGGCTCCTCCTTGAGGACTGGCTCATGGTGGCAGTCTCAGAAGGAAGTAGCTGAAAGCAGGACAGCTCGGGCCTGCCTCCCCAAGCATTCCCCCATCCTTCCAGGCCAGGATGCAGATGGCAGGTTGGAGAAGAATTTGTGTGGTTTTGTTTCTTGCCTGACCTCAGTTTCATGGAACAAAGTGGAATCTACAGAATTATTTTCAAAAATAAAGGCTAAATTGTCTGAAAATACTTGTCTGTGTCCTGGGACAGGAGGTAAAGGTTTGGGAAACAAAGGGAGAGTCAGGTCTAAAGAAGAGGGCTAGGCAGGTGAGAGTGGTACCGTGAAAGAAGGAAAGAAAGTTGGGTTTTGGGGTGCCCACAAGGGACAGTTAAGGACCTGGTGGGATAACAAGGCCAGCTTGCTGGTGGAGAGGCCCTCAGCTGTGTGCTTGCTGAGAGTCTCTAGAGCTGGCTGTAGGACCTTTGGCACAGTGTTTGCGAGTGGTCTGGGGAAAGTAAATCTGGCATCAGAATGCTCCCAGGAGTTTGTGCAGTGTGTCCTCTGCATGCTTCAGCAGCTGTGCCTCAACAAGCTGCCCATGAATCCAGGGTTCGTAGTGGACATGGACAGGCTATCCAGTGGCGCTTAGGACTCTTGATTATGACCCCAGTAAGAAGAATATCATTTAAACTATCACCCTGAACACATACACGTCCACCCCACCCTCAGTGCCTGCTGAGACTTTGCACCCATATTGCAGGGAGTACATTCTGAGAATTCTTTTCTAATGTTTATTATTTTTATTTTATGTGTTTGAGTGTATTGCCTCCATGTATATAAGTGTACCTGTGTTGTGCAGTGCCCGCAGAAGCCAGAAGAGGGTGTCAGATTCCCTGGAACTAGAGTTACGGTCAGTTGATAGCCTCCATGTGAGTGCTGGGAACCAAACCCAGGTCCTCTGCAGGAGCAGCCGGTGCACTCAGCCATCTCTCCAGCCCCACATTTTGAACAATTTTATTCCTAGTTTTGTGCCTATCTGTGCATGTTCATGTGCATGCAGGTGCATGCATATGCATGCATGTATGTCTCTGGGTGCTGCCCACTGTGCTTCTTTGAGACAGGGTTTCCCATTGGGGATCCACTTGTCTCCACCTCCCAGCACTATTGCACGTGTGCTACCGAGCCTTTTTGCCATGGGTTCTGGGCATGAACAGCCAGCACTTTGTTAGCTGAGCTACCTCCCCAGCCCAAATACTTTTTTAAAAAATCGTTACTTGAAACTCCTGTGGCCAACTTTATGACAGTACTGGCTTGGGTCTTCACAGCTGGTGGGGATAAAGGTCACTAGGTGAGCTCTGTCCAGAAAGGAAGGGGTGCAGCTGGGTAGTCACCAAGGGAGCAGCTCTGGCCTTGCTTTGGGGCTCAGGAATGCAAATTAAACAGTGGACTCGGTTTTAATCATTTATCTCAACCTTCTACATCATGGCACTAGTTGTGTCCTGTTGCTCTTAGATGCATTATTTAACAATTTTGATTTAAAAGGGAGATGGATCATGTTCTATAGCTTCAGAAACGGCTAGGAAAGGAAACATCATTCCTGACTATTGAGCTGGGAGAGTTTGGTTGTTCAGACTCCATGTTCTTAGCACTTAATGTGTTTCACAGTCACTGGTCAAATGCTTTGTTCTGAGCATTGCCAATACTGAGTTGCTCCTGTTTCACCAGTGGGGAAGCAGGCACAATAGAGGCGAACTTGATGAGGCTCGATCGCTGGGGCAGAACCAGGCTTTGAATGGAATGTATGCTGTAAGACACTGAGATGCTGGACTGTTCCATTTGATCCTTCATTGCCTTCTTCCACTACCCCTCCCCAGCCTCATTTGGCCCCAGGGAGCAGGTGATGCTGGACTTGTAGCCTAAGCAGCTGGTAGTCTCCTGCCCTGGCTGGTGGATAGGCTGGAGTGTGTCCAGGAAATAATAGACTAGGAAGGGGACCACTTCACGCCCATGAAGGCCATACAGATATTTAAAAGCAGAGCCTGGCTTCTCAGGTTTTTCTTGAAATGAGTACCTTTTTAAGGTCTCTTGGTATTGTTTGCTTTCTAAGTATTACTTTCTGTTGCTGTGATAAAACACTGACTGAAAGCAGCATGGGGAGGAAAGGTTATTTCACCGTACAGCTCCCAGAAGGAAAGCCAGGCAGGACCTCCGAGCAGGAACCTGGAGACAGGAACTGAAGCTCAGACCACAGAAGGAAAGCTGCTTACTGTCTTGCTCCTCTGTCCTGCGCTCAGCCTGCTTTCTTACACAACCCAGAACCAGTGGTGGCACCATTCACAGTGAACCCTTCCACACCATTCAATAATCAAGAAAATGCCTCATAGACATGGCTGTAGGCCAGTCCAATAGAGGAAATTCCCCAGGTGAAGTTCCCTCTTCTAGGTGTGTCACGTTGACAAGCTATCCAGTATACTTTAGAAGTGTTCCCCCAGAAATTCTATCTGCAGCTTGTCAAGGCATCCTTGCCTTGAGGTTCTTGTGTGTAGAGTTGATAACTCCTAGGAACCCCAGTGCACTTTTGGAGAACAAAGCAAGTGGCTGTGCCCATGGGAGCACACCATGCCATTAAATGCTATGTAATTCTGCTAGCCTCAAGTTTTGACAGTCGTTCCAAGATCTCTGCCTTGATGCTTCTGCCGCTGTGTTTATACTTTTGCCTCTTATCTGTGATCAGGACTCCCTGGTCCACCTCCTGCAGCTCCTTCTCTTGTGCCCATTCACTTATGGCCCTGAGAGCTTCGGGACAGCTATCTCTGCCTTCCATAGGCCATTGCCTCTTCTGTAGGTCATATTGGAATCCCTTTGTTGAGTTAGTCACCCCCAGTGTAGACAGCTATCTTGGATACAAATCTGTGTGGCCAGGCTTCTGGGCCTCCAGTAGACTTTCCCATTAGAACTGTGGAGTTGCCAGGAGAACTGAGGCAAAACAAAGCTCTTTGAGGGCAGGCCAGGAGGGTGGGAGGTGGAGGACATTACAGTGTTTGATTTTAAAAAGTCATGGTTTAAAAATTTATCTTTTCCCCCCTTATTATCTCTTAATTTTAGAAAATCAAATCACCAGATTTATGCTGTGGTTGGATATCATACGAGACTTCTTCATAGATAGATAGATGATAGATAGATGATAGATAGAAAGGTTGATAGATGATAGATAGATGATAGAGATGATAGAGATAGATGATAGAGAGGTAGATAGATGATAGAGAGATAGATAGATGATAGGTAGGTAGATAGATAGAACATTCATTTATTAGTGAACAAAATTCTGCAAAGATTTAGCTTATATAGGTTTATATAACTTTGATAAGTTTATGTAGTATAACATTACCCTCATCTTTAAGAAATATGGGATTTCAGGCTTCCAGATGGAGATGCTATAGAAGTAAGCAGTTTGCCACCTGAGGAGCCCAACACATTCACCTAGCTTGGACAGGTTGCAAGGAGTTTATATTTGGAAGCAAAGGTTAACAGATCTTTATGGGTGATGGACCAGTGGCATTTGTGGATGAGTGATCTTTATGGGTGGCATAAAGCAGGGGTTAACAGATCTTTATGGGTGATGGACCAGTGCCATGCCCCTTCTGAGGCTTGACCAGGCCTGGTGGCAGAGATCATATGGTGTGTTGGGCTGAGCTAAATCCCTCACTGGGCCCACTGCCCGTGTCTCAGTCTCAGAAATTTGTCCTTCCAGAGCCTAGACCTGTGAGGCTAGGACAATAATACCTTCTAGAGGAGTTATGAGGTCAACTAATAGGTGTGGAAGCAACACAGACAAAGTCCTATGGAAACCTTTGTCTATACTCCTTTTCCTCAGTTCATCCTGATCCCCCCTCTCTTCTGGGCCCTCACACCCTCATGTAAGTCTAGAGAGATCAGAGTGGCAGACATAGAGGCTGTGTAGAAAGGGAACCACATGGTACTGAGGCTGCTCTGTTTCCTCCCACTGCCTGCCTTTGCTTTCTTGAAGTCTGGTTCTTTCTACTGAAGCTGTAAGTGGGTCAGAATTAGATTTAGCTGCACACAACAGGAACTTGAATCACAGTGCCTCAAAGAAATGAGAGGTGGGGCCTGAAGAGATGGCTCAATGGTTGAGTGTTTGATGCTCTGGCAGAGGACCTGGGTTCAGATTCCAGCAGCCATGTTGGACAGCTGACTATCTCCTGTAACTCCAGCTCCAGAGGATCTGACCTCTACTTAACCTCCGAGGGCACCTGCATGTATGTGATACACATACATACACAGGTACACACACATACAAATAATTTTTTTAATGAGAGGTGGGTGGTGCAGGGCTAGCATGGTGGTTCCTGGTGTTGTAGGCCCTCAGATAACTCGCATCTCTGTTTTACCCTCACAGCATGGGACTTCCATACTGGGTGTCATTCTGTAGCTACAGGATCTCCAGCTATCCAGCTATCACACATGTTAGTTAGGAAGAAAGGAAGATGGGCAAAAGGGGAGCATCATCTTTTTCTGGAAACCAGTGGACAGATCACAGCTCCCTGGATACAACAGAATTCAGACATAACTATAATTAAAGGAGAATGGGAAAATAATTTGTCAGCTGAATTGATTATTAGTCAAACTAGGATTCCTATACCTAAGGAAAAGAGGGGTGATGTGTGGGCAGCAACAGGGACCTCTGCTGTAACATACTGAGCCTGCAAGACTGAACCAGTTACAGTGGCCAGGGAGACTTGGAGAAGACAGAATGATAGAGTGGTTTATGGGCATGCATCTGGAACCCTGACCTGGAGAAGGGCAAAGTGAAACAGCCATGGGCCAGTTAAACTAGATTGTTTGAGACCATCCTGTCATGCCCAAGAGGGTGAGGCGCTCCTGGGGTCAAATAAGATTGATATTCCTAAAGGCCACACGCAGCTACAGAAATGCTGATGGACAGGGGCAGATGGGCCAGGAGACTGTCTTCGATATGGTTCCCAGCCCATCCAAGAAGCATCAGGAAGAAGGACAAGGGGAAGGAGGGTAAAAACAGTTCAGACAGAAAATGATGCCCATTGTCTCCCCTCATGTTCCATTCACCAGAACTTAGCCCACTTCCCTTAGTTGGAAGGGAAGTGGGAAATGGAATCTCAGCCTGGCCACTGTCTCACCACATGTGTAGGAATTGGAGAATGGTTAAAGGGTAGCATTCTTTGAATATGGTAATATGGCATCTTTGGTAA